CAGTCTATTAGTGATGCCTGGTCCATAGTAGATTTCAAATAAGTATTGTAAGATAAATAAATGATTGAGTTAGTATAAGAAAGGAAGGAAGGAAGTCAGGAAAGAAAGAAAGATGAAAGGAGGAACAAAGGGAGGGAGGAAAGGAGGCAGGAAGGAAGGAGAGAAGAAAGGAAAGAAGGAAGGGAAGAAGGAAAGAGGGAAAGAAGGGAAGAATTTAAAAAGAAGGATTAAAAGGATAAAGGGAGGGAGGAAAGAAGGAAGGAAGGAAGAATTTTAAATGATGTAAGCTTTATTCAGTGTTTCACAGTAGAAACTCATAGTTAGCACTGGGACTAAATTAAAAAATTAAAACTGGAGTTATGAATACTTAGTAGGAGAAAAGAGAGCTCTCTAGAGTACACAACAAACGTATATTACAAAGCACGCACATGATACACACAGCACACAACCACAAAAACATTATGCAAAGTGACATTTAAGTACATACACTTGCTACTCTGTGAACGACTGGCTATGATTCAAAGTAACTGCTTTAAACTCATGCTAAAATACGCCAGCTGTTTTAAAAGTATAATTTCTAACCAACAAACCAAACAGCAAGCTTAAGAGACTCCAGGGGAGTTTTGCCTTCAAAAGACTCATATTCAAACTAAAATAAATCATATGTAAAATTAAAAAAATACATATAAGAATTTATAAGCATACATTTTTTTCTTCAACAGAACTTTTTATGTACACAATGTCTGTATCATTATTAAATTTTTGTCTGCATTGGAAATACAAGAAAAGGCCAAGTGGCCTGCATTGTTTGATTATTTATTTATAGGATGTGGTGGCCCAACCAGATTAAATCCTTTTATGTTAGGGAAACCAGCCAAACACAAGAGTCAAAATTCTCTTAAAGTTGAATGTCTCTTTACACCTCAAGTTGTTCCAGGACTCTATAGACAGAGTTTTATAAGAGCAGTAATGTGTCACGTTCAGTGAAGGACAGATATGGAAGGGATTTCCTTAGGATGCATATTGACTTTTCACTGTTGAACACCTGAAATGGTCAGGATCTGACAAAATCTATGTTGATATCATAACTGGTCAAAATATACTTTTTTCAGGTATTGGTGAAGAAGGGTTGTAACATTTTGAAAACATTCTGATTCATATTTAGAGATTTTTACCATCAATTTGAAGCAATTAATACACAAGCTTTATCTATTCAATTGTATTGTAGCTTGAGAGATAAACACAATCATTTTATCTACATGTCTACATACATAGACACACAAATTCTAGTCTCTTCTTAAATAAAAGTAGCCACACAAACCCTCAAATAACTGCTCTGTGATGGCTGACATAGGAGCTATTGCCATGAAGCCTTTTTTTGAGAATAGCTCACAGACAAAATTTATTTCTCTCCAGTTGTTAATCAGAAAATATTTTAAGCTTATCATGTCTTCTGGCTGATGTTTGTCAGAGAGCACATACAGACCCTCAGCTGATTTTAACTGGAGGGAGTTTAGAGGTTGTATATTACCTATTCATGAATTTTGAGAATATTATAATAAAATTCAGATTTGTTTAGCCAACATGAATGTTAACAACTAAACTGCCATCATGCTGAGGAAAAAAAAGTACATGAAGCCATGACTGCAAAATAATGGAATTCCTTATAAGAAGAGCAACTAATGCACACACACTCACCCCAGCTATAAATACACTCTCAGGAGAACACATTTTTTCTGTGCAACAAAATTGCCAAATAAAATGTCCCTCTCAGGAGTGACATCATGTATGGTGAGGTGTTGGGTCTTTAGAATGAAAGGTTTGGAGTGTTCCTCCGAGGGATAGCTGTGGCTGTAGAAAGTCTGTCATTTTCCATCAGATTAGTCTAGTCTGGTTTTCAGCTCATTAAAATACAGATCCCAAATTATCAACTAATTTAGATTAAAAGTTGGTAAATGTATGCCTTTTGAACATTTTTTAAATCTATATTGCTTTAAAATTCTTTCCTTTATTCATTCTAAATTAAATTAAAAGCAATAAAACACAAAAGCCAAGAAAAAGTACCTTATTTCCTCTTTAGTGATATCCCTTCATGTATTCAGTTAAAGAAAAAAAATTAGAAACATAAATGAAAATGCAAATAGAATCTTGAATTAAAAAGAAAAAGCCTCAGTAATTCCAGACTTTCTCAATTGGTCCCTGATTTCTTGACTTCCGTTCTCCCTGCTGTTCCTTCATCTTGTTCCCTTGTCTATGTGAACTCTCTCCCAGACCCTTTCTTCTACACCTACTTGTCAATCCTCCTGGACACTAGTGACATATCAGTCCCTTAAATACTCATCTCACTTGAATGGTGCCACTTGACAGCCTAAATCCCGGAATGAGCACCTGAAATATTAACCCTCCATTTGTCAATGGGGTTCACTGGAAGACTTTGCCTCACTTCTGGTGGGTTGATTCTCCTGATACTCTCACCTATAGACCCATTTAGGAGATAATCTTTACCTAACCCATAAAGCTGCATCCATCTTTCTTTTCAACAGTTACCTGCATTTTGGATGAAGAGAGTCAGAGAGGACCTGCTGAGCTGCTGCAGCGTCCCTTTCTGCAAAATACCTGCAGATGGAAGGAAAGAAAACCATCACTCCGTACCTGCTGCATACCTTCACCTTCATCCAGTTTGAGGCTGTTTGGGATTCAGAGGAATACAGAATACACTTGTTTTAGCTCCTCCACAAAACAGCTTTTCATAATAGATTCCCCCCCAAAAGTGACATGGTAGTATGGTTATAGAATCCACATAGACTTAGGAATGTATTCAATAGGTTTGAAAATTTAATTATGAAATTTGCTACTCTCCACAGAGCCAACTATATTCTTACAATAGTTATAAAGGATCAGCATTTGAAGACCTTCAGAAGTAGAAGCCTGGGAAAAGGAACATGCTAAGGGGCTGTGACAGCCACAGGGTGGAGAGGGAAGGAACTCCAGGACATGAGAGCGGATGTGTTTCAAATGCGTCTTTCTTGGATAGTCACTGGCTGTTTAAATTCTGGATGAATAGGAAATAGCTTACAGAGCTTGGGATGTTAAAAAATTCTGCTCTGGGGGAAAAGAGGCAATGAAGTTTCCTAATAAATACAAACCCTCAAAAATAAAAAGTACTTCATAAAATAAACTGTAGCAAACATATTTAATTTGATTTGAATATAATTTCTTGCATAAATCTAAGGAGTAAAATAAGCTTTTGAATTTTCTTTCAGAAAGTTTTAAACCCATCAGTAATTTTAATACACATTTTCATGATTATTGATGAGATAGCCTGGTGTCATACTTTTGCTGCTCATTGAGTTGCTTCTTTTATGTCTTTGTCTGTTCATATTCTTGGTCCAGTATATTTAACACCACCATCAAATAAATAAGACAAATAAGCCTATAGAGAATAATATACCGACTATGGATCCTTTTTATTTACGTGAGTGTGGTCTTGTCTCATTTTGCTTTCAAATGAAGGATTGGTTTATCTTACAGATTTTCAGTTTTAATGTTTCTGTTTTTTTCTATCAGTTTATCAACTGAGGTGAGGTAGAGATTTAACTTTATTTTTTTCCAAATGGAAGGCCAATTGTCTCAGTTCAAGTTGCTCAAAAGCTTAGCTTTATCCACTATTTATAACAACACACTTGAACTCTCCTAAGCCTTAGCATCTGCTTTCTATTTAATAACATTACATGATAATTCAGCCTTTCAAACATTTCATAAAAGAATGGATGATGATTAAACTTCCTAGATTTAAAATAAAGGGAAGTGTCTTAGGAAAAAAAATGGAATACCACCAAAAGTGACTAAGGCTTAATTTCTTTTAAAAATTCATCACTTTCCTCACTTACAGGATGGTGTCAAAGGACACAAGAGCCAGCTTAAGAAGACTGTCTTTTACTTGAAAAATAATGACTACAGATTAAGCATGAATAAAATAATAAGTGCAATTAGTTGAATCACAGTAGACATATAAAAACACAGGAATTAAATGCTATTTCAAAAATAGAGAAAGTTAAAAAAAAGTTTTCATCATTAACATGGGAACTAAGCTCCCTACTTGAGAACTGGCAAACCAAATAGAAAAATTGAGCGTCTGTCCCTCTGAATGTTAGAGAAACCAAATAACCATAGTTAATACAGGAAACAGTCATTACAGAGCTCCAGCCAACAGCTGTGGGAAGAATAACAGAATTAGAAAAGCACTGTATGCACGATTAGCTGGTTCAGTGAAGATCATAAAAGGAGAAGAGGTAGATGAGGGATTTATAATGGAACCACCAGGCTGTGATTCCTCTGTCCCATCAGAGCACAGAGCTGAGAGTAGGGACACCACAGGCCTCTCACTGTGTTGTCAACTTCAATTCCTTCAAGCCTTTCTGAATACCTCCAATTTTCAGGAAATATACAACATAGGTATAAGTGCAAGCAGACAAATCCAGGACATAGGACACTTTACATGACAAGTGACTTGGGATCATGTTAATGACACAAAAGGAGGGGACAAGGACAAGAGGCTGCGAATTTTAAAAGACCCAAGGGATGTTTTAGCTAAGTGCCATGCATAGGTCTTACATGGGACTGCATTTGAACAAAACCAGGTATAAAACAACATTTTTGGGAGAATTTGGCAAGTTGAACATGTACTGGGTATAGGCTGTTAGGAGTGACAAGGGTATTGTTGTGACTGTCATGTAATGTTGATTTTTTTTTAGAGCTACCTATTGAAATGTGAGGAGGGAAATGACAAATAGTATAAGATTTTCATTAACACACTTCTGTCAAAAAATAATGTTGCAAATATTTCAAACCTCCTGAATCTAGGTGAGCAACATAAGAGGGTGCTTTACTGCCTTCTTTAAGTTTTTGTGTGTGTTTGAAGCTTTTCTTAATAACAAGTTTTAAATTATATGAGATTTGCTTTAAAAATCCATAAGTTTACTGAAATAGAAGGAAGATTTTTGGTAGCTTTTTAAATTTTATGAACTTCAGTTACCTCTCAGAGGACTTAAATGTTTTCTTGGACTCTTTTGGGGAGTGACTTTTGGAACTGATAACTACACTTCACCATTTCAATATGAGAAGACCAGAATGCTATTCTGACACTCACTATTCTTCATTTTACTTACTGCAAATTGTACAGTCCCAGAAGTCCCATTCCACGAAAATCTGTCTTAGGATCATCGCCCTGGAAACCAATTTCACACCACTGCTTAGAAATCCGAGATTCCAGCGGAGTATTGGGCTTTAAGAATTTCCATAACTGGAGACACAAGAAAAAAGAATCACTCTGTTGATATACACACATACATATCCTCTCCTATTGGTTCAGATTATGTGGACTACATTATTAGGAAGGAGTTTGTCAAGCTGAATATATGCAAATCTATAAGTTAAAGATGTGATCTTCTTTCACTTATCTATGACAGCAACTCAAGAGGTATGGTCTGAAGACTCCATGGAGGTTCCTTTCAGTCTGGATGAAAGCAAACAAACAAAAGCTCTATCCATAATAAAATCGGGTGGTAATTTGCCTTCTCCTTCTCACCTCAGGAGTGAGCTGTGGAATTTTCCAGAGGGTGAGTGACATGTCATGATGTAATTGCTCTGAAGCCAATGGGATATGCGCACTGGAGGTTTTAGTGTCTTAAACTTCTGTTTTACTTTATAGTCAGAAAATACTAGGCTGATAATCTCCCACCAAAAAAGCTCTTTGGAGCTCTCTAAAATATTTAAGAGTATAAAGGGAAAGGGAGAACAGGGAAAAATGGGAGGACATCTTTATTCAACTCCTCAGAAAATGATTGTCTAACATCATGCCGGAACTTTTAGTAGCACTGTTAACAAAGAAAAGTGGACTGACTCGAGTTTCAGGTCTTAGGTCTCATCTCTAGCACGAATGGGAGCGAACACCACAAATGATGGGTAAAGTGATCAATACTATTCATAAATAAACCTCAGAATATGTGATCATCTTTAAAAGTTGCCTAAAAGAATTTCAATTAAAATCAATTATATATTAATGGACAATTATAAACTCTAGGTAGGTACTCTACCACTTGAGCCATTCCACCAGCCCTGACAATTAGAATTCTAAACATTATAGTCTTCTGTACTTAGTAACTGTTTTTAATTTTCTAAGTTTTCTATAGAAAGCTAGATTATCATTCATCATTACGAGAGAAAAAGTTTGAGATAAAGAGATATCAAGACCTACAGTTATATAAGTATTTAATGCTTAAAGAATTAGTTCTTTCTAATAGAGATGGGCCTATAAGCACATTTACTTTTTAGATTGTTAATATTTAATATTATATCTTCATTATAGGCAGTATAAACACAAACGTTAAATTCCTTATTACTATTTCTGAAATAATTCAACTTCTAAATTGCTTATTCTATATCACAATGATTTTTAAGGCATCAACAGAACAGTAATACAAAATTACCTTTCCTTTTTTTTCTAAAGAACAAAAGATAAATTTATTTGGATTTTAGAAAAACTTCACTGGTGCAAGAATTTAGTAATTACATTGAATCCATACGAACTGCCAGGCACTGGACTGAGTGTTGAAATGGAGTAGAGACGAAGGCAAATTTGACTTCTGGCACATGGAGCTTATAGAATCCAGAAGGTCAAAACTACCTTTCTTTATAGTGAACTGTCACACATCGGACAGGGTAGAACACATAATATTCAATGGCATAAAATATTAACAAAAATTTCAGTTCATTTTATTATGGTTATTTTAGACAGAAATCTAAAATTACTATTCACAGTATATAATATTTTATGTTAATGTCACAACAAGTAAATTCAATTTACTTAAGGGGGAGAGGAAAAACTTTAGAGAAAACAAAGTAAATCTGTCATGCATAAAAAAGCAAAATATCAAACCTTGGTATAAAAATCTCCTTTTTTATTAAAAAAGCTCTTGCAGTCATCAAAGCAAGAAATGTTTGATTTTTGTCAGAAGAGACTAAGGAAAGACCAGGTAATCAGTCATAGGAAAAAGTCTCTTTTTAAAAATCTTTTAGGATCTGATTTGGTTACTGCCACAATGGAGAAAAAAGAAAGAAAATAACTTGTATAACTGTCACATTCATGTGACTAATAATTTGAAGTGATCTTAGAGTTGATACAATGAGAAAGCATTTGATCTACCCAAAGACTGGAATAAAATTGCAAAAGCAAGCAGTGTGCTTTGTAGGAGGTTACAAATTGCATTCCTTAGGTGGTGCTTTTTAGGAGAGCAAAACGTTGAATAATAAAAATGCTTTAAAAAGAAATTGCAAAAAAAAAAAAAAGAAATCATATTTCTTTCCTTCCTTGCTTCCTTTCTTCCTTCTTTCTTTCTTTCGACAATAGTGGGGTTTGAACTCAGGGCCAAGCATTCTTCCAGTTGAGTCACACTACCGGCCCTATTTGCTTTTATTTATTTTTCAGACAGAGTCTCACTTTTGCTTGCGGCATCCTTGGACTGTGATCCTCCCATCTCTACCTGCTATGTAGCTGTAATTACAGCCACATGCCTGTCCCTAAGAAATTACATTTTAATAATTTTATGTGTCATGGCAGACTGGACTACGGTTAAAATGTAATTCTGAGGCCATGTGCGGCTGAGGCAGGAGGATTCAGAGTTTGAGGACAGCCTGGGCTATATAGTGAGACCTTGTCTTAAAAAACCAGAAAACAAGTGCTCCTAAATAACTTGTCAATCCTATTTGCTTTAGTAGAGGTCACGTTCTTGCAAAGTGATAGTCAGTTGTACTGAAGTTCTTACATGAGGGATAACTATTTATCTATTTCCTGGAAGAATCCTTAAGCTATTTCTCTTCTGATAGACTACCTCTTCTCAGAAAAAGTCAGGGTAGGAGGTAGGGTGCCCTTGCAGGGCAAGGTCATTTCTTGCATTAGAAAGCCAACTTTAAATCTGACTTGGGGGCGTGCTTTGGTGGGCAGCTGTGAGGAGTCCAGGGATCTAAGACTGTCTACTGGGGTAGTTATTATAGAACCTCCTGCCAAGTGTAGGAGGCTGGCGGGGCGGGGAAGATGACAAGTTACAGGTGTGGAGGCTGACTGAGTCAACCACTCTCCAGCATGGGCTGCTCTCTCTGTTGATCTCACTTCTCTTTGAAGTGAACCTTCATAGAGGCTTTTTGGACACTTCTGTCTTGTTTCAGAAGGGTGGTCATTCCTCCACTCTCAAGCCAGAATGTTCAAGGGGAAGTAGCTTTGCCAGTTTCCACAAAACTGGCTTTTCCCATCAATACAGGACCTTTAAGTCCGACTTTATGTGTCCTCTTGTGAGCCCATGAAGTCACCTACAATTTTGCTTTATTTTTAATGCAGATAGAAAACTTTTAATAGAAATGTTTATTTGAAAAATGCTATATGGATATTGATATATTATTCAATTTAATCTCAGCCTATGTTCAAATAATCATAAAATCTAGATATTTTTAAACTTTAAGATTCTACGTAGCAGCTTTGATAATACTCTCCTATGCTTATAAAGCAAAGCACTTGAGTAATGTGGCAACATATTTACCTGAGTCTATAAACCAGGGATGAGCAAAGTTGCTCAGGACCAACTGGTAAATATTCAGACTTTGTGAGCCATACTCTTTCTGTTGTAAGTACTTCACTTTCCATTTGTAGTAGGATAGTAGTCAGAGACTATATAAAAATGAATCTGGATGGCTTTGTTCCAATAATGATTATTAATGGAAATGGATAGTAAGCCAAATTTGGCCCACAGACCTTGTTGTTTTAAATGAAATTTTGTGAAAGAGTATTATCATCCATCTTAAAGATGAAGAACCTTAACCTTGGGCAGTTACGCACGGTCCCCGGAAATACAAGTGCGAACAAGGCATGGTTTCTCTCTCAAACAGTGTTAGTACAGTAGTTAAGAGCCCTCTCTAACTATGGGAGCTTTCAGTCACTGAACGGTTCAGCTTCATTTCCCCATCTGAAAAACGGGAATGACACTGTTCTTGTGACAACTGAAAAATGCTTCAGGCCACGTGTGATGGCTTATACCTTTAATCCCAGCTACTTCAGAGGCAGAAGTAGCAGGACTGCAAAAATGCAAGACCTTATCTAAAAACAAATGAAGCAAATAGGGCTGGGCATGACTTAAGAAGTAGAGCATCTGCTTAGCAAATGGGAGGCCCTGAGTTCAAACCCCAGTACGGCCAAGAAAAAGAAGAGAAAGAAAAGAAAAAAAAATGCAGGACAACATTCCTCATAATGATTGGCATGGACCAAACACACAATGAAGGCTTTATTATTACTGCTTTTTAAAATTATCATACTTGAAATTTAAGTTAACAAGAGAGGATAGCGAAGATCCCACGTCTGTGTTTGCTTGGGGAGGCTGGAGATACTTCAACATCTATTGAATGAAGATGTTTAAATGAGGTGGCTTCTGTGGTGAGAATGATGGGTGCAGAGGGAAGGCATGAGGAAGTTCCTGGTGTATGGGATAGCACTGCCTATTCTGGGTCATGGTAACTGACAGAGCACGGTGGAAACGCACTGCACATAGAGGGGGTGCAGGAGGTGTAGCTTAGAGAAATACAACGGAAAGAGGCCGAAATGCCATGCTGGGGTACATGGGCTTCCTACTGGAGGACAAAGGAAGCTTCAAGCTTTTGTTTTGTTTGTTTCTTTGAGACAGGGTCTCACTATGTAGCCCAGGCTGGCCTCAAACTTAAGATCCTCCTGCCTCAGCCTCCACAGTGCTGGGATTATAGGCCTGTGCCATCAAGGCCCAGTTTGAAATTTTTAATCTAGAGAATAATATGATTAGATCTGTGTTTTAGAAAAATACTGCCATCAGTATTTTAGAAGATGGAAGGGAAGAGTCTAATGGGTGGTGGCCGAACTAAGACTACAATAGTCCAAGTTGGACATGATGACACAATGTATAGAATAAGTCAGTGGGCATGAAAACATTTGAGAAATGTGTTGAGGTTCTCATTACTTGACTTTTTTTTTTTTTTAGTGGTGCTGGAGTTTGAACACAGGGCTTTGACCTTGCAAAGCAGGTGCTCTACTGCTTGAGCCATGCCTCCAGTTCTGCTTTGAGGTTCTCTATGGAAGAAACTTAGAGATTTTTTGTAGGTGCAGAATTTGTCCCAACTAGATTGCAGTCCCAACTAGAAAGGCAGAAAAGATGCCTTTCCTCAAAGTACCTAAGTGGTGTATGATCCTGGCTTTATTATTTACTAGATGTGTGAATCAAAACCTAGACTAAACCAGTAGTTTTCTCACCTGTAAAATAGCCATTATCTTGCTTACCTCACTGTAACAATCAAAATGATAATACCTACATACTCAAATTAGAACCACTGATAAAAGTCATATCATAAATGTTCCTGACATGTAACTAATGTAAACTACAATAACTCATACACTTACCCATGCCTGTTAAAAGCCTATAATGTGCCATCATGCATACCAGATCAGACATCCAAATGTCATTAATCAGTTCTGAGGACATCTCAGCCATGATAATGAATTGTTCAGGCACTTGTGACCACTTTGTTAATTATACTCCCTCTTTTCACTTTCATTCACCTCGCTTCCCAATGTTAGGTCCTTTTATTGAACTTGACCAGCTCCATAAGAAAATGGTCAGAAAAAAAGCAAAAAAAAAAAAAAAAACAAAAAAAACCAGTTGGGATTCATCCAGTAAGTTAGCTAAAAGTAAGCAGGGGAGAAAGGTAAGATGAAAAACTATTGCCAAGAATGAGGCTTCTTTAATTTTTAATGACTCACATCAGATCCAGCAAATGAGTCATCTATTTAAGTATTTACATACACAAACACATACACTCCTTCACACAAAAACACAAACAGGGCACATTTTTAAAATTATACCTTCTATTGACATTTTTCAATAAGACAAAGTTAAGGCAGCTAAATGAATGTTTCTTTCTAATTTTCTTACTGCCTTTTTGAATGCTAGAAAGAGGCAGAGTAGCCCTGGCATCTATTTTCAGAAATGAATGCATAAAATCTTTTAGAATTTAGAAAACACCATTAGAGCCTATGATTTTTTTTTTCTGTATGATTTTTAAGGTTTTTTATTTGACAGGTAGGAGTATTTGTAACTCTATATTATTTTAATGAAAGTTTTAATATGCCAAATATAAAACTTTACCTCCTCTTTGAATCCTCACCAAGTCACATGAATAAATAAGCAGCATTAAGATCTTGAGTAATTTCCCCAGAGGGCTATTGCTGAAACAAATCAGCCTCATCTCTGATGTGTATTAACAGTCACCAGTGAAAATCCCAGGACACTCCTTGACAGATGCTATTTCTTCTACTGGCTTTTAACACATGCAAAACAATCTAAACTTGGGCCAAATATGAGATCCCTCAGAAATCCCCTCTGATGTTTTCACACATTACAGAAGCTTAAAGTTAATCTTTCATATGAATTTTCTGATGAAAATATTTACCTCCACCCTCTGAATCAGCAAGAGAACTCGGCCGTACCAATCCGTCTTAGTGCCCACGTCTTATTTACCTTTGTATTCCCAATGTCAGGATTAAAGCCTAGAACACAGCACCTGCTTGGTAACCATTAGCTGGTTTAAAGAAAGGACTGACCTGCAAAAGCATTTCTTCATGTTGGGGGTTATCAGAATCATAGGGCTCTCTGCGCAGTTTTTCCACATCTGCAATAAGGTTTCTGTAACCCACGATTTGCAGAAGGCAAGCCTGAAGAGAGATTCCCAACCTAAGGTGTTCAAAAGAGAAGAAACACACAGCAGGAAAACAAAACATGTTCTTGGGCATTTTCTCACTTGATGGATGCATACTAGATCTTTTCCTATAAATCTAATATTCAGGAAATTTCTCAAATATGATCTGTTTACTAGAAGCACAATTCTTACTGAGGCTCCACGTATGGATAGCTGTAGAGCCTGGTTAGGTTTTTTTTTTTTTCCTCTCTCTCATTCTGGCTTTTTCTTAAGTTAAATTGCAATGGTTTGGCTTAAAACACAAGGGTGCTCTTTATGGAGGTGACTTGAAAGTAAGATGTAGAAGACACAGGTAATAATAGGTTCTTAGGAATTGTTTAGGCTGCCTAGGGAGGTCATCAGAATTGCTTTAGAAGGATGTGTGTGTGAGAGAGAGAGGTAGAGAGACAAAGGGAGAGAGAGAGAGGGAGGGAGGAAGAGAGAACTCCTTTGGGGGCAAGAAAAAAACCTAACAGCAGCAGCAGCAGCCACAATAGAAACAGCTCCCAGATGAGGCAGTGCCCAGAGAAGTCACAGCTCTACAAGATTTTCCATCACGTTCCAACAACTCATCTTGTCTGTACACTTTCTTATGTTAAAACAAAATCTGCTTTGCTTATTACCAACTGGATTAAATGCAGTCCTCTGAGAAAATTTACTTCTACTGTCTCCCCAACATGCCTACTTATTTGATTCTATCTTCTAGTTTCATCTCCAGGTTTAAAAAAAAAATTCCCCCATTCCTTCAATTCTTTCTCATGGGGCATAGTTTTCAGATGGTTTACTGTCATGCTCAGTCTGCTATAAATGTTCACTAGAACAAGGAAGAATCCAGCAAGCAACACAGAGAGGATTGCCACTCCCTGTGATCACAATGCTGTTTTCCTCTCCTACAACCTACAAGGTAAAATAAGATCTTTCAAAGCAGTCATACAACATTGCAAGTGTATTAAGCAGGTCACTAATCACTAAAATCTTTTTTTGAACATCCAAACTACTGCCATATAAATGATAATCCTATCCTGCCTGTACTCACATTTTAAAATCCGAAGGTAATACTTTATACTTCTTTATTCCAGCTAAATTCTTTAGTTACTTCTTGTGGCTCAAAATGGTTGGACATTGGTTAATTTCAAATAATACTGTCCAAAATATATTTTGTTCCTAGTTTATTCATTGCCCTGGAACGTTTTTGTTGTGGTGTGGTGGTGATGGTAATTATAATCACAATGACAGTGACATCTTCTTGGGGATAATAAATGAGATGCATAGAGGTTAAATTTAAAATTGGCTCAGGGCACCAGTGGCTCAAATCTGTAATCCTAGCTACTCAGGAGGCAATAATCAGGAGGACCAAAGTTTGAAGCCAGCCAGGCAAAAAGTTCACAAGATCCTATCTTGAAAAAACCCATCACAAGAAAGGGCTGGTGGAGTGGCTCAAGGTGTAGCCCTGAGTTCAAACCCCAGTACACACACACACACACACACACACACACACACACAATCCAAAACTGGTGCTAACAGGTCTGAGAATTATGCAAATATTTCCAAACATAGAGGGAAGTGCCAGACAATCAGGAATACTAAGCTTGAATAAAATTGTGTCTCAATTAAATGGCCTTTATAATTACTTGTCATAGCACCAAAAAACTAAATTAGGTATTTAAACTAAGGAAAGGGCAGAGTGGCATGGATTATCCAGAAGTTTAGTATAGGACTGATAAGAGAGTTACTTTTGAGGGAAAGAAGAGAATGCAAGAAATAAGGGGAAGAAACAAAGAAAGTCAATTAAACTTTTTCTGTAGTAATTTTTAGTAACACCATTAAGAAGCACTTGTAAAAAGTACAATTAAAACAAAATGAAATTAACACAGTAATAATAGCTTGCTAATTTAAAAATGTCTCCCTCATTTCTAACCTCCTATTTCTTTGTTTTCTTGGGGAAAAGATTTAATTTTTTAAATTGTTTATACATGTATTCATATGTGTATACATTGTTTGGGCTACCTCTCCTCCTACTCCCTGCCTCCCCCTCCCCCCTCGCTTCCAGGCAGATTTAATTTTTTTATATTAGGTTTTGTCAAGAATAGTTGAGAAAAAGGCACTAGAATCCACACTGAGATGCTTAAATAAAACCTAACCAAACAACAAAAGACCCCACGTACCATTCTATACCTTTTTTTAAAGGAAATAAAAAACGATAGATGTCAGAGAAATAACTTATGAATGCAACTGAAACAACTTTCATAGAAGAAATAGAGAAAAGATTTTCTGTTCTATCTACTCTAATCTCTACATATATTTATAGGACTAACACCCCCATGCCCAGTTGTAGTCTTAAGTTTTTGGTTCAACTGAATTTAGACTGAATTGCCTTCTTATCACTTCTCTAGAAAAATAAAAGATATGTCAGAAGATTTTAAAAATACATTTACTACATAATTAAATCAACCTTAATATATCTGAATAAGGAAAAGGCAGCTAATTAGCTGAAGTGGCTTCAGAAGAATGCTGTGGAAATAGTTTTGTGACAAGCACCTGGATAGACAGTGCCTACCATCCTTCCAAGAGACAGACCTATGACAAGTGTGCTCTGAAACTCCCTTCAACCCTAGCTCCGTCTTGGGTAATTGAAAGCTTTCTCAGTGGTAACACTTGACATGCTCATGTATGTAGATCTTAAAGGCAGTTTGATTGCTACGAATCTAAAACTGTCTCTAAATATATCTGCATTTGGAATTTATTTTTCCTAATATCCTTAGTCCCAAATTTCACTGCAAACTTGCTGTACCCAATGGAAACTATAAAGCTAATTTTAAATGTCATGAACATTGCCAAATGCATTTTAATACTTCCAAGATGAGAGGAATAACTTATGAAGTTCTAAAGTCTTCATATAAAAACCATTGCTTCCTCCCACACACGCCTGTCTTCTTGACAAGCAGGTAGGAACTGTCTTCAAGATCTCAGCCTGTTAGGATGGAATATTTATGAGGGAACTGAAGGAATATTCTAGATGGGGCAGAATCAACTTAGGCTGATTTATGATTAGAACATTTACAGTTAACATAAAACAGGCATCCAATAGTGACTGCTGATGAATGGGCTTCCTTGATCTCATATTCCGATATCAGGAGCACCTGTCCCCTTTCTTACCCCGTGGCATCTTGGAAGCCCTAGCACACACACTGAAAGTATAAAGTTACTGTCATTTGCAAGCATGAAAAGGCACCTTATTTCTTTATTCTTCATCTTAGAGTCAAAACACTGCAGATGATTGTTAGGAAGAAAGGGAAAGAGAGGGGAGAGGGAGACAAGGAGGGAGAAAGACAGGGAGAGACAGACAATAAATGTCTGACCATGTGGCTGGTGTGCTGTATTTCATATAGGAAACATATTCTTACTGTGGATTTATGTCAGGGTTAATTCCTTTCAGTTCCATGATGTCATCTATAGTTTTTTCAATAGCATCAGGGTGAACGCTCACTGATGTCTGCAGCAGCTGAAAAAACATGTTTCAGTCAGTTCCCTTTACCGTCACACCACTGGTTGATAGGATGTCTCCTGGGGTAGAGGCCTTGAGTATTTCTTTAAGCTTCTATATGAAGGCCTGAGCTAAAATCAAACATTGACTTAGTGTACTTCATTCAATAAATTTGATGTTTTCACAATTGAGGTATTGCTATTTTCCTCATTAAGGCATATAATGCAAATCAGACACACATAAGATTTTTTTAAACTATTGTCATGTTTCAAGCTACTTATATTGCGATGTTATATTTTTTTTTCCTCACCCAACACAGTTCCCAGTATTACTGGACAATATGTCAATGACTAAAGAGTGAGGCACATGGGATATAGTCTTAGGGATGCCAAAATTAAGTAAGATGAAATGATCAGATTTTCCTTCTTATTTGGATGCTGAACTATGTACTATAGAAGTTAACATAAAGACTTCTTTGATTTTATTAGAAAAGCTCAAGAATAAAGTTAAATGGTTTGAATATTGAGGAAATATTAGAAAGATAATACTGTTCCTATGTTCAAGGACTATTTATGACTTGGGAAGTAGTATTAAAAAAAGGATTAATTCCATAATAAAGCAATAGATGCTTCACTTCTGATGTGAAAAAGTATGATCGTGAGGGGCAAATGACTCTTCTCAGTTTGCATTAGTTTTCTTAATCTATGATGTATTTTTGTTTCTCGAAATCTTTACTTTTTAGGACAAAGGTCAGCTTCAGTGAAAAGTTGGCAAAAACAAGGAAACAATTTGACATACCTTACTTTTTGAATCCCTCAGTGATGTCTCTGTTAAAGCAGTAACAAAAAGTTATTTAAAAATGATCCTTCATGAATGGTTTTAAATTATTTACTGAAATTTAACATTGTATCTGCAACCCCACCAAGTGCATTTTGTTTACTTCTTTGTTTCATCCTTACCGATTTTCATGGTTCTAGAAGCCCCAGGCTTGGTATTGTAACAGATCCTTTGCAATTCACATCTTCCGGTCAGCTTCCTCATTACAAATTTCAGGCAGCGCCACAAAAATTTACAGTAAAAATACAGGCACACCTGGATCAACATTCTGTGAAAAACAAAAGACAGCACCCTTCCAATAGAACTCTGGAAGAGAATAGAAAGCAGCCACCACCAGCGAGAAAAGAAGCCCAGGAGAAAACCAGCCATTAGATTTCCGGGTTTTGCAAGCACTGTTTCTAATCCCATGTTGCTATTATTTCATAGGTGCTACAGTTATGATGCCCACAGACTATGCAACTCCAGAATGCCTCATCCTGGTAAGTTTAATATTACAACAAACTAAGGGTTAAGCATTCGAATCCATTTTTCTACCTCTGCCTAAAATGTTTGGAAATATTAATGTCTTGAAAACAGAATTCTTCAATATTGCTCATGTTAACATTGCCCTTCCCTAGACAAGGGGGAGGAAAGTCTTCTCTTGCCTGAGTGGACAAACTTTCAGCTTGCCCTTGTTCTTTTCCAGCCCTTCCTTAAAGCCACTTATTAGCCAAGTCTGTATTTCTTTCTTCCCTTGCTCCCATTCCTTTCCCTTCCTCTGCTTTCCCTTAGGCACCGTGTACTCCTTTGAGGACTTGGATGTCTGGCACCTAGTTTTTCTGCTGAACAGCCTCAATACTCTTAGCACCTGCCAGAAGTCCTCCTCATCAATTTGCTGAATAAGCACTGTTGACCTTGGATTCTCCTTGAGGTGACAACATTGTCCAGTTTGAATTTTTCAGAAACTCTACTTCTAGAGAAGTCTTTTTGTGACTCTTGCTAAAGTTTTCTTTACTGTACATACTATCTTATTCCAATAATGCCTAAAAAACTAGGAACTGTATTGTCACCAACCATACGCTTACGCACAGGTATCTGGCACTTGTGAATTTGTTTTATGTTGACTTTTAATTTTAAAATGAGCACCTACTACTTTATGGTACTGCTCAGAGTCACAAAATGGCTCAAGCTTTAGAGACAAAGAGGGCCTGCTACCCAGGAGCTTATATGCATCCTGTCTTCTCTGTATACTCTGAATTCCTAGAAGGTAGAATTATTTCTATTACTTCCTAACAGTATCATATCGAAAAGATTTTTTCTCTCTCTCTTTTTTTTTTTTTTGACAGCACTGGGGTTTGAACACAGGGCCAGGCAAGCATTCTACCACTTGAGCTACTCCACCAACCAAGATTTTTTTTTCTCAAATTCACTGATTCCCCCTAGCTCTAAAATGAAGTGATCCAGGATCATTCAGATCAACTAGCATGTTAATTAACAGCCTCAACAAAGTGATCCATCCTCTGAAACAAACATTTCCTTGGTTGTATTAATTTGTTCAGCTTGTTCTGGTTCAAATATCTTCAGCAGCTTTGTGTTAAAAATGAAAATTCCAATAGTCTTATTTGTACAAGCGCATTGGGTCTATATCTAAAAAAACGTAAAGAGAATGGAAAGAAACAGTACAAACAACCAAGCTGCTACATTAAGATAACACAAGGGAATACTTTGTAGACTATAAAACTATGTCCTCAAATATCTAACGACATGAAAATATCCATGATGTTTGACAAGTAGAAAAAAGTTACAAAGGAATATGTATGAAATCATCCAATTTTCCTTAAGAAAAAAAAACAAACACAATACTTTTAACAGTGATGTGTAAACAAACAAAAAGACTGGCAGGATACACGAGAAATGTTAATCACAGTATCATTAGCTAATAAAGTTGTTAGTAATTTTTATTTTCTTTCTTCTATTATACATGCATTATTTTATTTTAAAAACTTATAATAAAATTAAAATGCATAAATGATCACCAAAAGCTATTACAAAAGTTTATGTAAAATTTCTTTGTGGAGTCAGTTACTATAAAGTCAACCGGATTCTTCTGAAAGACAAAAAATGGACTTACCATATTGTAAAGCCTAACATTCAACTGTTCAAGTGAAATACGTTCTAAGATCTGTTAGAATTTAGGTTAACAACTTCCAAAAAAAAAAGTACCCCTAAAAATAAATTTAGTGGAACATTTTAGTTAGACAAGTGAGAAGCTTTATACAATCTCAACTTATTCTCCTGGAAAATGTCCTTCACTTTCCAAGTACTGGATAGCTATGCCAGAAAAAAGATTGAGCAGTCTCTTTGTTAACTGGTCCCCAGCCAAATGGTAATGACATTAACTACTTTGGAGGCATTACTCCTATTAAGTAAAGGATAAAAGATTTCCATGATACCAGCTCCATTTGTCATTTTCAATTTCAAATGGCCTCAGACGTGGGCCAGCAACAAAATGAAGTCACCTTTCAAGTCTGTGCGTCAGGACTGTAGCACTAACTCTTCCTAAAGAAAGGGTTCTGGTAACTGTTTATGGAGTGCCATAGCTTGGGTCTTGAATGTTTTCTAAAGGCTTGTGGGTTTAAGGCTTGGTCCCAGAGTGGCCTTATTGGGAGGTGGTGGAACCTTTAAGAGGTGGAGCCTAGTAGAAGGTCTTTAGGTCACTGGGAACATGCCCTTGAAGGAGGCTGTGGAACTCCGTCCCTCTCTTGAGTCTTTTTGCTCCCTGGCTCTGCAGTGAGCAGTTTTGCTCTTCTAGGTGCATCTACCATGATCTGTTGCCTACTCATACACCAAAAGCCACAGGACCAACCCAATCTTGGCTGGGCTTCCAAAACTATCATCCAAGACAAATTTTGTCTGATAATAAGTTGATTATCTCAGGTACTTGCTATAATGAGGGAAAGGTAACAACAGAGCATCTCTGTATTTATTCTACTTAGGGTATAAGGTTTGAATTTGCTACAGAAAGTTTTCCCATGACTACTGTATCAAGTCTTCACAAAGATGTGGCTCGAGACTTAGAAGTATCATCCCAGTGGGCAGGAACTGTTTGCATGTAGAGTGACCTAAAGTCCATTTATAATTGCTCATGTTGGCCTCTTTGTGTATGAGAACAAAATGCCTGTGTTTGATGGCTTTATATAAAAGAAGAAAAAAGACACCATGTTCTGTTTCCTTTTATTTCTTTATGTTTTAATTCTCTTGAAGAGGTTTACACTATCAAACATGGTGAAACCTAGTAGAAATCCACAGTGGGGATTAGGCATAAAGTATCATTTCTGAGGGCTTGCCTCTCAGTAAAGAGTACATCCCTCTCTAATAATCCCATAAGTGACATCCAAATCTGAAAAAGAAATGCTCATTTTAATTATGAAATGACCTTTATGCACTGTCTTCTCTTTTGTAGTCTCTTGGCCAGCAGTGTTGATAATGCATTTATTATCTAAGATACCTTTAACTTTTTCCTTTATTTTTCTTATGGGCCAATATGCCCACAGATGTTTCATTGAAAGTCGGCTTTCTGTGTTTTGACAGACATAATTCATTTTGCATTTAGGTCATAAATCTGGTCCAGGCAAGGTATGGCTACAGGTAGAAATGCCAGTGTTTCCTCTTACTTTGGTAGTCCCATTTTGATGACAGAAGCAATACTCAACTCGCTTCCTCATGACAGGGACCACACCAGCAAAACCTCCATATGTATAACTAAGGAGGGCTATTTGCCAATACTGCTGGGAACCCACTTCTTAAATTATTTGAACCAATTTAATTTCCTAAATTGTAAAGCTCATGTTTACCCTAAAAAAGAAGAAGCTAAAAGACAGACCTATAAATGTGTTTTTCAGTGATTGATTTAGGAAGGAAGCAAGGAAGGGAGGGAGGAAGGAAGAAACAAAGAAACGAGGGAGGAAGAAAGGTATGTCCGTTTCTTTTCTGGGTTTAAAGAACTTTTGGATTTATTGTGCTCTTTCTTCCTTTTAATTTCCTTTGTTTTATGTCCTTATGTTTCTATCTGTATTTTTTCTTTTGAGAGGAGGCATTTCAAATACACTTTCAAGAAAGACCCCAGTTTGCTTTCTCTTGCAAGGTCACTCATCCTGTTCTTTTCTTTTCTTGGTGGTACTGGGGTTTTGAACTCATGCTTGTTAGGCAGGCGTTCTACTACTTGAGCCACTCCAGCAGCTCATCCCATCCTTCTGTCCTATACCCTTTCCACTGCTTGAATCCTGCCTTCAGAAATTTATAGCTCTGCAACTTTTTCCTTCCAGCCTGAATCAACAAATAAATAAAAGCTTAGTTTTAACAGGGGTAATGTTTGCTTTATTTCCCTTGACTCTAGACTTAGTGTGTTCTTAGTCCTGATGGAAGATTCTCAACTCACTACTAGTAAGGTCAGATAGATTTAGGTACAACAATTAAATCAAGACCGGAAAAAGAAAACCCTGATAACCACCCTATAACTAACCATTGCTTCCCCAGGCAGCAGTTTTTCCATTTGCTTCTGCTTTTTAATCACAGCTTTTTGGTAGTCTTCTGGAAAGATGTGCTGTAGCTTCCTAAGATGAATGTGTTGCTTAAGCATGGGGAGAATCTGATTGAATCAGAACAGCTCCCACACACGCCTCCTTTCCAATATTTTCTGTTTCTGCTGTTTATTAAAACGCTGCGGATTGAAGTTTATGGCTGGGTTCTCATCAAGCACTTATGACCATGCTTATTATTTAACATTCATCCTCTAGCTTCAAACAGGGTAGCCACCCAATGTAGATTATTCAAAATAAGTAAGCTCCTGTCTGTAGTTCTCGGTTAGAGGAATGCATTGGGCAGGGTTGGGGCCTCAGAACAGGAGATTCGCCTGAACCATGCATCCCCTTGCCTGAGGGTGGGGGGTGCGGGTACCTGTAATGCAACACTACTCCATCAGCCTAAATTTGTGACTCTGGTGTCTTCTTTTGGAATAATAAGAGAAAAGTGGCTTATTTTGAACAATTTCAATGAATGTGCTAGTGAAAGTCAATTCTTGCTTGAAGAATTCCTGCAACACATAAGAAGTACACTATTGGTGAGAAAAAGAGAGGTACCAAAAAAAAAAATATCACATTTCTTGGCTCAAATCACAGTTTCCCACATGGAACACTTCATCTAAAGGGCCATAAAGAAGAACAAGCTGCTTAGTGAATCCAGCATTGCATACACTTTCTTTTTTTGGTTGTACTGGGGTTTGAACTCAGG